GCCTCCTGGGTTCAAGCAATTCTCTGCCTCAGCCTCCCAAGTAGCTGGGATTACAGGCGCCTGCCACCATGTCCAGCTAATTTTTGTATTTTTAGTAGAGACTGGGTTTCACCCATGTTGGGCAGGATGGTCTCAATCTCTTGACCTCGTGATCCGCCTACCTCAGCCTCCCAAAGTGCTGGGATTACAGGCATGAGCCACCGTGCCCGGTTGCCTTGACATCTCTTCTGGAGCATTTCAAAGAGAACTTAGACTGAACTCATGATTTTCATCCTCTCTGCTCTGCCTGCAACCCGGGTCCTGCAACATCATTCACTCAGCTATGGAGGCCAGAACACCAGAAGTCATCTTTTACATACCTTCCCCACATCCAATCCATCACCAAGCCCTGCTGACTCTATCTCCTAAATATCTTTCCAATACATTCACTACTCTCTAGTCCACCCTGGTCCCATCTAACCATGTCTCAGATATTACAATATTCTTTTAACAATCACTCTACAGTTAACTGGAACTCCACCCCTACTCCTACTCCATTCTTCACACTGCAACCACAGCAATCTTTTTAAAATGCAAATGTGATGTGACACATACCACCCCAAAAACAACATCAAAATACAATGATAAAAAATGAAAAAAAAAAAAAAAAAGCTTTCAATGGTTTCCAATGGTGTTGGGACAAAGCAAAGCTTGTAGCTGGCATTTAAGATCTGACTCCTACCTACTTCTCTAGCCTCATCTCCAGTTCCCTTTCCTCTGTTTCCACTCACTGAGGAGAATAAATCACAAATTGCATTATGTTATTCCCTCCTTTCTTTACTTAGTTAATTCATATTCATATTCAGACCTCATTTTACCAAGAAGCACTTCCCTGTACTCCCTGATGAAATCAAATCTCCCAATACAGGTTCTTAGAGCATCTTGTATCTCTTCTTCCATGACAAGGGCTAGAATTAAAATTTTATGTTTGTGTAATTATTTTTTCTCTCGCATATATATCTTTTCTCATTATTGTATCCCTAAGGCCTGGTACAGTCCCTGGCATACAATCGGCACTCAATTAATACTTGTTGCATGAGTTAATATATTTACAAACTATTATTGTTTCATTAGAGCAGGTCACCAAGAGATTCTGTGTAAATATTGACAAACCTAGCAGAGTTCATTAGATACACTTTCTATTATTATAAAGGGAAACATGAAAATATTATTAAAAAGTCAAACAATAGAAAATATTTAAAAGAGTAAAAGATGGGCCAGGCGTGGTGGCTTACGCCTGTAATCCCAGCTCTTAGGGAGGTAGAGGTGGAAGGACAATTTAAGCCCAGGAGTTCGAGACCTGCCTGGGCAATATAGCGAGACCCCATTCTCCACAAAAAGGAAAAAAAAAAAAGACAAAAAGAGTAAAAGATGAAATACCTCCTTTGCACACCCTCATTTTCACTCCCAAAGTAAATACTCTTGAGAGTTTAATGTGCATCCTGAGTATATGTATGTGTATGAACATAAAACTAAATGTCTGTCACCCAGGCTGGAGTGTAACAGCACAATCTCGGCTCACTGCATCATCTGCCTCCCAAGTTAAAGCGATTCTTGTGCCTTAGCTTCCTGAGTAGCTGGGACTACAGGTGCATGCCACCATGCCCAGCTAATTTTGTATTTTTAGTAGAGACGGGGTTTTGCCATGTTGCT